GCACACCTTTTATCGTTGTCATATGTTGGATTTATGTCCACTCCGTTTTTCTTATGTAGGGTAATAAGCGGACCAAACTTCACAAAGGCTGTCTCTTCTTTAGCAATATAATACGCAATATTAAATATTTTTTCTTCTTCAGAGAGCAGCACCTGCCTTCTTACAGCTGCCTGCATGGTTGCCGATCCTTTGTTTTCTCGTGCTATGTACGCATCTCTGCAGAGTGCATGCCTCCGCGATTTACCGTGTTTTTGTTCTGTATCTCGTTTAAAATGAGGGTTGCCGCTAACAAAGGCCGAGTTGCCCGCTTGTTTCTGTCCTCTGCAGTACTTGCAGTACATTAAGTTGTCCTCAAAAATGAGCCATGGGAATGTTTTCTGCCACTGTGGATTAAAATTGTATTTCCTACCAGCAGTGGAGGATGAACCGTTATCGCCGCTTGGTCCCTCTTTTACGTTTTCGTCACCCTCCTCTTCCATATCCTCCTCAGGATCGACTGTTTCTGTCACGCTCTGTCTTATGAAATAATGACTAATTGGCTTCATAATTCATGTATGTTCCGTGTCTATCTCTCACTATGTGTTACTGCGTTTACCTCACGTTTTTGTTTTAATGTGGCGCCTGCACACACTTTGCGTGGATCACGTTAATTTTTTTCTGAGACCGCGTTTATTAGTGTTTTATCTGCTTGGTTTTGTTTTTTGTTTTTTGGTAAAAAATTAATAATTATTCGCACATGTGCAACTAAATACATTTTCCAGTTCGCACACATCTATTTTTAGTCACAAATGCGAGTGAAATGCTCGCACTGTTGAGCCCTGCACTATATTGAATAGGTTTGATGAGTTAGTTTGGCTGTGTGTTGCAGAAGAGGAGGCCCTGCATGGTCCCGCTCATGTCTCGGAGCAGCAGACAGACAGATGCCTCCTCCATGTCCTCTCCATGGGCTCTAAGGCACTGATGCTTCAGGTGTGGGTGAACATCTCCACCGGAGCCTTTACCTTCAGGTGAGTGCAAAAACTGCAAAGTTGCACCAAGTACGTTTTCCCCTCAAAAAGACTCCTCTAAAGTGGATGTCAGTGGTGTTTCATGAGGCCAGTATATGTTCCACTGCAAAGTCACTCAGCTATAACTCACTTCTTGTATAAAGCACCACTTTAGACCATCTAATCAAGTTCTTATGGAAAAATGTACTTAATTGTGTTTTGGAAAGAAAATAGGTTGTGAATGCTATTTTGTGTTGGGTAAAAAGTTATCTTTTTTAGATTTTGGCTTCTCTGAAATAAACATAAACCTAAAATAGTAATAAAAAAGTTTTTAAAAAACTAATTCATTAAAAATTTGTAAAAAAATAAACAAATATAAACTTTTTTAGATTTAGACTTCTTGTTTCCAACATACTAACTGAAAAATGAACCGAAACTAAAACTGAAATAAAAATGAACTTGAAGAGTAATATTTAAAAATAATAATAAAATTACTAAAAATGTAATAAAAATTCTAATGAAAACTGAAAATGTAACTAAAATCTAATTTCTAAAGATTTTAGATCTTTTTTTTTTTTTTTTTATTATTTGGTAAATGTTGAATCTATATCTGCCATGTAATTGTCTGTGAAGCTGATATGGCAACTATTAAACTATTATGACTATTAGAAACATATTTGTTAATTGAAATGAAGCGGAAATAAAATACAATATAAATAAACATTAGATCATTTATTTTTCAATATTTATGTAAAAAATGCAGACACGTTTAAATTAATCTAGGCATATTTTCCACCCTTACTGTATTTTCATTAAAACAATACAGAAGATATTTAATAATTTCATTTATATGCAACAATACAGTATACAGTAATAAACAGTGATATTTTTCCAAAGTTAGGCTATATTTTTATAACGTTTTCATAAATGAAAAATGGCGTGCTGAAGTAAACGGGCTATTGGTTGTTTTAGGCTCCAGAATTGACACAGCGGAGGCATTTTACCTGTATGCCAGCGGCCCTGACCTCACCTCCATCATGCCCTGCAAGTACGGCAAGCCTCACGGGACACTGTCCAAGTACGTGACACAGGAGGGTCTTCAGTGTGAGCAGATACGAGAGCTCCTCATGAGGAATACAGACGTCGACATCGCACCTCTTATTGTAAGCCACTGCACCTATGAATATGAATTTTATTTTTTTTTCTCCAGAATGTCACATTTTCCACCAGAAGGCTTTTATGCAAATGTATCTGGCAGCGTCACAGTTCAATAGCTTGTTTATCTCCTTCACTGCCACTCGAAAGCAGGCAACATTATTTGTCCATTTTTACATCATTTCCTGCTTAAGTGTTTTTTTTTTCTGTGCAGTTTTACCCACTGACATCTTAATTACCGGTCATTTTATGAGTCTACATGCTGTTCCAGGTTTTCGTATGCTAATGCATTACATGCTCGATAATTGCTGCCAAAAGAAAAAGTCATTTTTTCATGACATGAAAAGTCACACAAACCTTCATTCCTCATGGAGGAATTAGCTTCTTTTTTCTGGTCTTTTCTGACAATATCTAGTGCTATTATAAAGCATTGTACACATTTATCTAAAGAAACCTGTAAATAACATGCCCAGGTGATATTTCACCTTAAGATTAAAAGAATTACATTAACCCTGTCAGCCTGATATATGAAATAATAGTCTGAAAATCCCCCCCCTTTTTTTTTTAAATGAAAGAGTTTATTGAACCTTTCTTTATTGAAATCTTTAGATAAAAAATATAAAACAAGTTTGCATTTGTTTTTTGTTGAGTATCATGTTTTGATACATCAGGCTTTTATGGCTAATATAGTGTGATATAGGGATGTAAACTTGTCACCTTTCGGCAAAATTCACTGTTTTGAATTCAAAATGGGTCATTTGTGTGATTCGTGTAGAGCCGGTGAGTTTTTAAATTTGTGTGTGTGTGTGTGTGTGTGTGTGTGGGGGGGGTGTCCTTTCTCATTCTTTAGATAAAAAATATAAAACAAGTTTGCATTTGTTTTTTGTTGAGTATCATGTTTTGATACATCAGGCTTTTATGGCTAATATAGTGTGATATAGGGATGTAAACTTGTCACCTTTCGGCAAAATTCACTGTTTTGAATTCAAAATGGATCATTTGTGTGATTAGTGTAGAGCCGGTGAGTTTTTAAATTTGTGTGTGTGTGTGTGTGTGTGTGTGTGTGGGGGGTGTCCTTTCTCATCTCAATTCTGTACCCGCTTGAACTCCCCCGCTATCAAACAGTCCTGCTTGTTTTTTATTTGTGTGTGCGCGCTCTGGCTTCGCATGTTTACGTAGTTGTACACATTCGCAGATCTTCCCATTATAACAAAATGAAAAGAAAGCATACACGATGTACTGTGTCGCAGTATTGGAAATATTTCGGTTTTAAACCATGAACGCAAGCCAATGGATATCACACAAGCAACGTGCAAACTTTGCGCAAACGTTACGCCAGTGAACGTCTTAGCCTCAGTCAATTCACTATACAGAAAGTGAAAGTAAAAAAATCTGACGAAGCTTAACGCTGCATTAACGGCGCATATTCTCTCAGAGACAACAAGAGACGAATCTACTTCAACATATGCTGATAACGCTATTTAACTGTCTTAAATTATTCCCTTAATATTTCTCTTGTGGCCCGTATAGTGAAAAACATGAGAAGAAACGTATTTTGCGTTAAACAGGTCTTAGCCTCAGTCAATTCACTATACAGAAAGTGAAAGTAAAAAAATCTGACGAAGCTTAACGCTGCATTAACGGCGCATATTCTCTCAGAGACAACAAGAGACGAATCTACTTCAACATATGCTGATAACGCTATTTAACTGTCTTAAATTATTCCCTTAATATTTCTCTTGTGGCCCGTAGCCTATAGTGAAAAACATGAGAAGAAACGTATTTTGCGTTAAACAGGTTGTTGCTTGAAATAAAGCTGCTCTTAATTTTCATTGATGACAGCAGTGTTAATCATTAATTATAGGCCTTTAATTCATTGTATAAATGAATAGGCCTGTTTTTATTTTTTTTTAAACACATTAAAAAAAAAAAAATCTGAGGAGTAAGCTAATAACCTAAACTTTTATTATCCTCACAGCGCGTTATGCTATGACATTATTGCGGGGCAAATTAATTGTAATTTAATAAAAGTAACCTAATAATAATAATAAGTCTAATAATAAGAAGAATGTAACAGGCCTACATTAATTGGAAATGCTAAATCCTCTTTATATTGGCAATATTTGATGCTTTTGACAATATCTCTGGCAATAGTTGACACATGATACGCCGCAACTCAGCACGGGGAGGTTATCGCGGGCCCCCCCCGCAGTGTGTGACCGTCCGCTTTGCCACTGAATGGACCGAACGAACTGTCTGACAAGCCGATGTCAAAACAGACCTGTGCATTAAGTGATGCGGAGTAAATTCAGAGTAACAAAACTACAGCAGCAACAAGTCTGTGTTGACTGAATATATTTAGCAGCTTCTACAGTTAAAGATAAAACTTAGAGCACTCTTTTTGATGAGTCCTTTCAATGTTTGAAAAATTTAGTTTTTGAATTAAATCTTAAAAATTTCTAAATATTTAATGCATTATTTAATTATAATACCATTCAAATTAACTTGAGTATTTAAATAGTTAAGTATTTAAATAATTAACCCTTCTAGGCTGTTGGTGTCTGGGCTTATTTGTTTACTTATTTTTTAAATGACATGAGACTTCAAACTATGTGACTTCCTGCTCTGGCTATACTTCATTATCTTTTTGTAATAAATCCAAAAGCAAGTTGTGTAAAAACAAACAAACAAAAACCAGGGAGTGAAAATGGCAAAGGAGCTAATGAGTGATCCTCTGCTGCCATCTACTGGATAGTAAAGGTAATTTCATGTCATTTTCATCAGTCTTTGTTTTCCACCAGGAGATAATTTATTTCATGTCATCTTCATGAATGAAATGTGAATCTTTAAAGTGAATTTTACTGCACAACTATAGAGTCAAAAAAATAATAATAAAGGGTGTAAAATATTGTTTAAAAAATGTGTTTCAATTGTGGGGGTGAGTAAATTCATGGGTGAAAAAGGTGACAAAGATGCTCGTCTTTGTCACCTTTTTCACCCATGATGAGTTTGCATCCCTGATAGTGAGACTATGAAGACAAAAAAACAGCTCAATTTTATTCAGAGGCCCAGCCTGATAAAAATATGTAATTTGGTGCAGATGCTGATATTTATATGGCCAAAAAAGTAAGATTCTAAAGAAATTCTGAAGCTTGTAATGTAAATCATTGAGATCTTTATAACAGTAAAGCAGATAATTACATAAAATGATAACTGCCAGCAGTCACTCTATATCTCCAATAATATGTCTTAGTAAGATGAGATTTAAATGCTAAAAACATAATACAATGCAATCCTATTATGATTGAGAGATGAACAAACAAACACACCTCAAAAGCCTGATGATCATGTTTGATACTCACATTAGAACATGATTTTCTATAAAATGATGTCTGGATAATCAAGTAAAGCGAAGTTGCTTCAGTCCAGTAAGTGTTCATCTGGAAATATTACTGAAGTTATCCTTACGTTTACTGGATAAGAACCTCTAAACTATCAATCAGACGACAGAAGGCATGGAGTAGATTGTGTGTGACAGGAATAACAGCAAAGTTTTGATCATATTGATCATTTACATGCCTAAGAATGTCCTGTATCAGATATGATACAGTAGGCTTTATAGAGTGAATAATATATTTGCATAAAAAATTAAGCCTATGTTTTAGATTTTTCCACTGTGATATTATTTGTATGACAAATAAACAACATTTCATCCTGATTTTTCATTACTGTAGAGCAAACAAATCTGTCAGTTCCTGCGGAGAACTGTTAGGAAAGCCACTCGTTTCCTCTTACAGCTCTCACACTGCAAATCTAATCGGCTCACAGGAATCCTGTGGTCTCGATGTTAGAGTCGACATGCTACATTGAAAACTTTTATTTCAAACAGAGCAAGAAAAACAACTTTGCCTTTGTCTCTGTGCATCTGTGTTTTTACAGGAGAGTTTAGCAGTAGTTTATGCCCCCAGCACGCCGTCTCTCTACACCATATATGAGCCGGTGATCCGTCTGAAGGGCCAGGCCAAGTCAGCGGTGGCTTCCCAGCGGCCCTTCAGTGCCAAAGAGGTCCAGAGCTCCATCCTGGAGCCTCCTTTCCTCAGGACCATGATGCCCCCGCAGTGTGTGCCCGTCCGCTTTGCCACTGAATGGACCGAACGAACTGTCTGACAAGCCGATGTCAAAACAGACCTGTGCATTAAGTGATGCGGAGTAAATTCAGAGTAACAAAACTACAGCAGCAACAAGTCTGTGTTGACTGAATATATTTAGCAGCTTCTACAGTTAAAGATAAAACTTAGAGCACTCTTTTTGATGAGTCCTTTCAATGTTTGAAAAATGTAGTTTTTGAATTAAATCTTAAAAATGTCTAAATATTTAATGCATTATTTAATTATAATACCATTCAAATTAACTTGAGTATTTAAATAATTAACCCTTCTATGCTGTTGGTGTCTGGGCTTATTTGTTTACTTATTTTTTAAATGACATGAGACTTCAAACTATGTGACTTCCTGCTCTGGCTATACTTCATTATCTTTTTGTAATAAATCCAAAAGCAAGTTGTGTAAAAACAAACAAACAAAAAATAGGGAGTGAAAATGGCAAAGGAGCTAATGAGTGATCCTCTGCTGCCATCTACTGGATAGTAAAGGTAATTTCATGTCATTTTCATCAGTCTTTGTTTTCCACCAGGAGATAATTTATTTCATGTCATCTTCATGAATGAAATGTGAATCTTTAAAGTGAATTTTACTGCACAACTATAGAGTCAAAAAAATAATAATAAAGGGTGTAAAATATTGTTTAAAAAATTGTTTAAAAACCGTCTTTGTCACCTTTATCACCCATGATGAGTTTGCATCCCTGATAGTGAGACTATGAAGACAAAAAAACAGCTCAATTTTATTCAGAGGCGACTTCCTGCTCTGGCTATACTTCATTATCTTTTTGTAATAAATCCAAAAGCAAGTTGTGTAAAAACAAACAAACAAAAAATAGGGAGTGAAAATGGCAAAGGAGCTAATGAGTGATCCTCTGCTGCCATCTACTGGATAGTAAAGGTAATTTCATGTCATTTTCATCAGTCTTTGTTTTCCACCAGGAGATCATTTATTTCATGTCATCTTCATGAATGAAATGTGAATCTTTAAAGTGAATTTTACTGCACAACTATAGAGTCAAAAAAATAATAATAAAGTTAAAATATTGTTTAAAAAATAGTTTAAAAACCGTCTTTGTCACCTTTATCACCCATGATGAGTTTGCATCCCTGATAGTGAGACTATGAAGATAAAAAAACAGCTCAATTTTATTCAGAGGCCCAGCCTGATAAAAATATGTAATTTGGTGCAGATGCTGATATTTATATGGCCAAAAAAGTAAGATTCTAAAGAAATTCTGAAGCTTGTAATGTAAATCATTGAGATCTTTATAACAGTAAAGCAGATAATTACATAAAATGATAACTGCCAGCAGTCACTCTATATCTCCAATAATATGTCTTAGTAAGATGAGATTTAAATGCTAAAAACATAATACAATGCAATCCTATTATGATTGAGAGATGAACAAACAAACACACCTCAAAAGCCTGATGATCATGTTTGATACTCACATTAGAACATGATTTTCTATAAAATGATGTCTGGATAATCAAGTAAAGCGAAGTTGCTTCAGTCCAGTAAGTGTTCATCTGGAAATATTACTGAAGTTATCCTTACGTTTACTGGATAAGAACCTCTAAACTATCAATCAGACGACAGAAGGCATGGAGTAGATTGTGTGTGACAGGAATAACAGCAAAGTTTTGATCATATTGATCATTTACATGCCTAAGAATGTCCTGTATCAGATATGATACAGTAGGCTTTATAGAGTGAATAATATATTTGCATAAAAAATTAAGCCTATGTTTTAGATTTTTCCACTGTGATATTATTTGTATGACAAATAAACAACATTTCATCCTGATTTTTCATTACTGTAGAGCAAACAAATCTGTCAGTTCCTGCGGAGAACTGTTAGGAAAGCCACTCGTTTCCTCTTACAGCTCTCACACTGCAAATCTAATCGGCTCACAGGAATCCTGTGGTCTCGATGTTAGAGTCGACATGCTACATTGAAAACTTTTATTTCAAACAGAGCAAGAAAAACAACTTTGCCTTTGTCTCTGTGCATCTGTGTTTTTACAGGAGAGTTTAGCAGTAGTTTATGCCCCCAGCACGCCGTCTCTCTACACCATATATGAGCCGGTGATCCGTCTGAAGGGCCAGGCCAAGTCAGCGGTGGCTTCCCAGCGGCCCTTCAGTGCCAAAGAGGTCCAGAGCTCCATCCTGGAGCCTCCTTTCCTCAGGACCATGATGCCCTGCCAGGCTCTCGGCCTACACAGTGTCCTGCACAAGATCGGAGGCACCGGCGCTTTTGTCTTCCTGTTCGCTCGGGTATGTGTTTGTCTGCGTATCCGTCACTAGTAGAGACCAGGAACGTGTGGAAATGAGTTCATCTGTCACTGCACTTCTGCTTTACTGCACACAAACACACAATGCTCATGTGTTTTGGCCAGATCTTTTAGTTGAACTCCTTTTATTGATGATTTTCAACAGGAGAGATAAAAAAAGAAAAAGACAATAAAACAAAATTTGTTACAACATATTAACAGAGATATGACCAGCTAAAGTATTTCTTAAATGTTTTTTTAAGTATGTCTATGTAGTTTTTATAAATTACTTATTTTTAGTAATTTTAATACTTAAAAATGAGAAAGTTGTCTTTGCAACTAGCTGAAATAAAATAAGATTAAGTTTTTCTATATTTTATTTCATTTCACTTAAAGGGGTCATCAGATGCCCATTTTCCACAAGTTATGATTCTTTAGGGTCTTCATGAAAAGACTATAACATACTTTGTTTAAAATTTCTCAATGGTAGTGTAACACCCTTTCCAGCCTGTAAAATCAGCTCTGTTTTCAGCAAGCCGTTTTAGTCCATTTTCCTTTAAATGCTAATGAGCTCTGCTGACCCCGCCCCTCTCTTCTGTGTGGTGACGAGCCGTTCTCATGAGACTGTTTACTTTAGCTGCAGAACTTGCTAACTAGCACGTTATTAGGAAAGGCGATTTGCAAAGATTCATAAAAGAACCTTGTACTCACTTCTTCTGTAGGTGAAGCTGGATCACGAATGATTCACGCAAAACATAGACTCGTTTAGGTAGATCGGGGGCGCATTCCCTTCAAAAACAATCATAATGCAAAACAATCACTGCATCTTCAGCGGCTCAGA